TTAAAAAAACTTAAGGTGTTCACCAAAACAAGACACGGACAAAACGGCATTCATAATGACAAATCTGCTCAATAATATAGTAAAAGACTCTGGGAACACTCGAGAACTACAGCAAAAACCACAGAATCACATGTACAGCTTATGGTGTTTTCTTATATGTTGGAAGTAGGAATGTATATATCATTGTGGTTGCCATGTCACGTGACCGTTGCCAGGTAACTTTAAGATTTGACTATGTAAATGCTTAAAGAGGCAAAAATGTGGTTGGTCTACGAAAAGGTTCATTAGTCAAACTCAAATGGCATCTATGTAAGTAAGCTTTGCCCCAAGTCAGAAGCTTCGGTTCTGTACAGAACAGAGTTGGGCAATTCCCAAGGACTTAATGCACTGCTGTGCATATAGTTAACAAGCAAGGTAAACACAAAAAGCAAAAGCAAAAGTAAAAAAATCCTTCTGAACTAAAACTCAGATATATTCATGTTCTGACTCTATAAAATATTTTGATTTTACAGTCATGACTACCCTTGGTTTTCAAAGTTTTGGTAAAAAAAACAAAACAAAAAAACTTCTGTGTTCTCAGTATGTTCTTCTTTTTACTTACTTGGTCATGGCACCCACAGAGCTGGGGACAGAGGCCAAGTAGTTACAGCTGAGGTTGACCTCTGTCAGAGTGGGTATGTCACAGATAGCCAGGGGGAACTGGCCAAGGTGGTTGTTGGAGAGATTGAGGCTCCGAAGACGAGAAAATCTAGAGACAGTGAATAAAATTATTAACGAAAAGACAAGGGTGATTGAAGAGTGTGGTTTCATCCTGTTAGTTTTGCAAGAGAGAAAAATCTATACATCTCAACTAAGTGTAGTTTACCCATGCTTTTTAATTAAAGTAAGCACAGAGTGAGATTCAACACACCCATAAACAAACCCTTCCTTCATAGTACAGCTAAACCTTCACATTTGAATGTTTAGCAAACAAACACAGCAAAGACGCCTGTTGTTCGTTTAAACACCAGTGACCAGTGGCTTTCAGCGTGCTGGCCCTTTGGCAGATCAGTGACCTTCACAGGAGTTGGCTCGCTCTGTCTTTATTTATCCATTTACACACATGCCGACACACGCATGCGACCTGCTATCATCTATCATGGAGAGCTCAGCTAGGCATCTGGAGATGAGAAGCATGCCATATTAGCACCGCACGCTGGAGCAGCTGCTAACAGTGGCACTTGATTTTCCGCGCTATACACATACAGGTTACACACACATACACACAGTATATCACAGTGATATGGGGGGGCAGCCAGCCTAGACGTCGGGTTATTGATTAGAGTGACAGAGAATTTCCAGCTGAGGGTGACTCCTGCAGGCAGGGGATGCGGAGCATGTGGGAAAATGTCATTCCACCATTAAATCAGCCCCTGCAATCTGCTGAGTAACACTCACACCCCCTCCTCACAGTCCCTACGCGTCTTTGTCATGCTGTGACATTCTGTCTTCTCATCTTACTCTGCTTTGACCTTACTTACATTCTTATTTATTTAAAGCAGCGCTAATTATTTTTAAAAAGCCAGTGAAGCAACTGTTTGCAATAAGTTTTTGCTAAAAGTCGTGTCCTCAAAGAGAATTATCAGTTTATACAGTTAGCTATTTATACGTTTAATTATATGTTTGCTACTCATCAGCAGGAGCGCACCAGTCGGAACTTTAATCCGGTCACTTGGCCTTTCATCGCTTCATTTCAATGACTTTTATGTCCTTCATAACTCGATAAGCTATCATAAATATGTAAATAAAAAAGGCCAAAGGTTCAATGAAATTCATGGAACATCAGCCATTCCCCTCAGTGAGTGGTAACCTCTGTCTCAAAAAGAGATGCATGCTGGGAAGGCAGTCCCATGCCAGAGGAGAGCGCTAGTATCCGAGACAACTGATTATGCATATCTGATTGGCAAATCACCCACCAGTTAGTATTTGGCCAGAAAGAAAATAGAAAGGGGCGGAGGGGGGAGGAGCCATGAGGCAGGTTCACGTGCCATTGCTCTTGGAAAAATAAAAGACACTATAATATAACCCCACGTCAGATGTCAGAGGAAAGCTAGTGTTTATACAGAAACCAAAACAGACTCTCACACAACAGTCCACACAAAAACATACACACACCCACATTCATAGAGGCTGCATACAGAGTATTATTGTTCTTGAGTCCAGCTTTTTGGACTTCAGTCTCTCTGGGGAAAGCGAGTACTCGAGTAACTCTGCTGCGCGGTTCTGTTAGAACCTCGCTATTTTCAGCTAACTATTCATCTCTTTCTCATTACTGACCTCATTTTCTGTCATGCTGGGTCAAATGCGGATGAGCCTACTTAGATTTGGCAGGGCTAAATTGATGTCTCTCACTTGACCAGCAGGGGAGCTGTGTTTCACTCAGATATTAAAACTAGCTATTTTCCCTTCACATCATCTTTTTTTAAAATATTAGTCATTATGCCAGGGATTAAAAAAAAAGATGACTCAAAAAAATGACTGTGGTAGGAAAACATAAAATCCTGACCTCATTCATTCACAATATTCTATCAAGAAGACACAAAAGTGAGAAAGATCATAGATGCACAGATACACACACACACACGCGGATTCCTTTAGTGCAGCCATGTTAAAATGAAGGAACACGCCATACTATATCAAGACTCTGTATGCGCTGACCCCAAATCAGTAGCCTGCAGCCACTATTTCTGTTGCATGCAACACGCAAGCAGCTCTCACGTACACCGACACTCCACACAGCTAACACATACTCAGGCACCAGATTCACACTATTCAAATGGTAACAATTTTATGGTAATCTTCTCCACAGAGAGACGTTGAAACAAGTGTGCAAATATATTAATTTGTAAATGCATAAGTGCACATACACACGTGGAGACACATATACAGCATCTTGGCTGTGGTCTTTAATCTGCGACCATGATAAGCATGCAGCAGATGGTGCCCACAGAGAGAAAGAGCGAGGGAGGCCAGGCACATTAAAAGCTTCCCTGCAGACACTTCTACCCTTCTGGGCTCTGGGCTGATTTGGCCTAGCCTGGTACAGCCCTGGCTAGCCTCTTTGGTCCCTGTGTGCCAATGGCCCCAGTCCTAGACTGCTCAGGTCGATGGCTTGCAAATTGCAGGCAAAAGCTAAAGCTTTCCAAAACCAGCCAGCCGTGACTTGCTGTTCCCATTGAAGCCTCACTGTGTCGGTGTCTTGTCTCCTCCATATTGTACAAAAGCCTATCTCGACTCCAGCTGTTGTTAAGTTACGCTAAGCTTTTGTAAACCATATCTTTCTTTAGTTTTCATCTTGCCCGAGCCGGCCCATCCAGACCACCTCCTCAACCTATTGTGAATCTTCAGGTCTGTTCTTTCATTCACAGGTGTGTTTACGGTAGTCTTATAATGGCACTGTACCTCTGCAGCTGCTGCAGCCGCTGATCTGCAGGCAGGAAGTTGTGTTTTAGGTTGAGGTGGGTCAGGTCGTGGCTATAAAAGAGATTGGGAGGAAGATGCTCCAGACTGCAGCAGGACAAATCAACTGAGTGGATTCTCTGAGACACCATCTAAAAAAGAGGTGGAGTGGAAAGCAAAGAAGAGAGGAGAGCAGAGGTAACAGGGAGAGAAAAAGAATGTGGAGTTAAAAAGGATTACCCCGACCACATAAGACTGTACTGGTTCATGATGTCTTTGTAGCCTGCTGATAGGGGCTCAAATGTCATTCAGAGGCAATCTTCTTAGGATTAGAGAGTCAGAAGAAGTCAAGGGACAGTCCAACAGCTTGGTAACCTGACATCACGAGTTATAACATTGGGTAATCTAGTTAACTGCAGGTGTAGAGAGTAGTTAGTCTGTGTCCATTTGATAAGTCGGTTTCAAAGAAACGTGGATGATATAAACCGAAACGACATCTGTCATGTTGGAGGAGAAAGTCTACTGTCTGTGAACGGCAGCCTTTCAGAGTTGACTTAGCTAGAGGCTCAGCAGTCGTCACTGCAGCACGTGCTGCTTCTATCCAGGCTTCTATTCTGAGTGGCCCTCAGGGCGCTGGTGACATGCATGTCCCTGTTAATATTTAGAAAAGAGGTTTTCTGGCTATGGCCTACTTGAGTTCAAATGAGAGAGAGGAGAGAGCCATCAGTGGTGTTTATGTGTGTGAGAGCAACCAGACAGGTTATAGAGTACAGACTGCACAGCAGTGAAATATGTGAAGTTTTAACTTTACCGGGTTCATACGACAGCGGCATTGTGGTGGGTGTAGTGCAGTTGAGCGTGTTGTAACGTACAGTGCAGCTGACCCGAAAGTAGTGCCCAGGGAGCATATGCTCCTCCTTTTCTTTCTCGAACTCTTTTGCCCACACAATACCTTGGCAGCGTGTCTTTGCCAGCGCAGGTGCTCCGTGAAGCTGTCAAAGCTGACATAGTAGGTTTGACTCTGAGGCCCTGCTGAGCTGAAGGCCAAACAATGATTGTGCTTCTTCACCTCCTCCACCTGGAGACAGACACACACGAGAATGTCACTGGAGTGTAAAATACTGACATCTCTTATCCACCTCTGAATATAAATTAAAAAGCTCATCTTTAGGCATCAGAAAAGAAAAGTGAAAGGAAAACATGAAACACGGAGGCCTACATAGGT